TGTTCTAGTGTCGGATCCAGCACGATTCCTCATAACAGAAGCATTTCATTCATCATATCTGAACACCATGTGGATTAGCACTTTTATAAAAAAATTGTATATAAATATACATAAATGTTATTGTCGTATCCCAGTGCAATCCCATAGTTCAGATCGGTGACGAACTACACCGTTTCTAACAGTAATTCAGAAAGAATCAGATGTTATTCAGAAAGCATCAAATGTAATTCAGTTTGGTAAAATGAAATTCAGAATGCACCAAATGCTACTCAGAAAGTTTTAAATGTAGGTAACCCCGATTATTCACTCGGATTGAATTAAATTGAAAAATAATACCACACACAAAAATGGTAAAATGTATTTATTTCATTACATTTTTTCAAAATTTTGAAAAATTCTGAATTGACCTTTTGTTTGGAGGCCATATTGCGGTGCGCGAACATAGTTGCCAAAAGTAGACAAAAAAAAATCCCTAGCGTAATGTCAACATTAAAAACAAAAGTTACTGCGTTACTGGATAACTTCCATTTAAAATTTAAATTTGCCGCCTATTAAGAATGTCTTCGAAAAGAAAAACCATCAATTTTAACTTGTATCGGACCAAGAATCGTAGTATTGGACAGAATAGAAATAATAAAATATCTACCTATTCACTTTACCAAATTTCGGTTTCCTTTCTCAACCTTAGTACTCATAACCGCGAAATTCGCTCTTTTTGACATTACTTCGACAATTTGACGTTTTGTGCGTGGATAAAACGTCAAATTGTCGAAGCAATGTCAAAAAAGAGCGAATTTCGCGGTTATGAGTACTAGGCTTTATTGTTTATAGAATCAGAGAGAGAAAGTAAACAAACAAAAAGGATAGCGAGGATCAATCATTTATGGCGATTTGCATTTGTCAGTCAGTGCGCACTGCGTGTATCCGCATCTTTTTCTGAAAGCATATAACATGTAAGGATAAGGATACATTGTTTTTGCACCGGTTTGACAAATGGAAATCGCTATTAGTTACTTTTGTTTTCAATGTTGACAGCCCGCTAGTAATTTTTGTTTTCTTCTTTTGGCAACTATGTTCGCGCACCGCAATATGGCGTCCAAACAAAAGGTCAATTACATTTGATGGTTACTGAATAACATCTATTCCCTTCTTTCTGAATTATTGTGTTGTATGTGACGTTTGGCAGAAGGGCGCCAATTAGGCAATTCAATCCAGCTGTCAAAACGAAAAATTCAATATGGCGTGGCGGCCAGCAAGTTTGTTTTGAATATGTATTTTCATGTATATTTTAATTATTTTGCTTCGAGCTTTGCTTGCAGCTTTGATTTTGATTATTCAATAAAATATTTGTTTACTAGGTACGTAAACTATTAAGTCGGGCAGAAACTAGACATTTTTTGTGTTTTTTGGTTCATGTGTGGCCGCCACGCCATCTTGAATGTCACGTGGTTTGAATTGCTTAATGGGCAACCCAACCTAACCTCACTTACATACGTCAGAGTCGGCGGCACTGTGCTCCAGTACCAACAACCATGGGCGTCGTTACGAGATTTCTCAGGGGGGGGCAGTATTTATAATAAGACCATTTCCATTAGCGCCGCAGGCTAATTTTTATTGGTGCCACGCCCCTTTTTGAGCATTTTGAGGTACACTTGGCCAAACATAAAACTGGTACAGACAATATATATTTTTTAAATTTGCCTAGTGTGAGTCAGGCTTAACAACAAAAAGTATCTTCTAAAAAACTTAGGTCCATTGCTTAGGTCAGATAGTATTTGTCAACGTCAAAGCTGAACAAAAGTAAACACAACATGTTTTTATGTTATGATTGGTTTGAATATGACACTGACTTGACTCTATTTGTCATTCTTGAGGTGATAAAGAAGGTCGATTTACACAATACAACACAATAGGAAAATGCGTACCAGTTTTATGTTTGGCCAAGTGTACTTAGTTGATATCGATATTCAGTTAAAAATGATGGTATTTTTTTCCGCAACAAATTAACTGTCCGCATCATTTGTTCAGTGGCGACGACAAGGGGGGCCGGGCCGCCACTGAAACTTAGCCGGCCCTCCCTGAAAACTTGCTCTCATGTCGGAAACAATCCAATGTAACATCAGCAGTCGGTTAATTCGGTATTCGGTGAGCACAGGCCAAGAATCGTAAACTAACAGGAATTCTCATCCTCATAAGGCGTACGTTTGTCAATTCTCGACTCGGCAGGGCCTGCGAGTGACGTCACTACTAATTAGCAGCAGAACAGCTTATAATGATGACGTCACCCGCGGGCCTCGATGGGATGCTTGCGATTCAAGTTGTGCTTGTTTTTTCAATTTTAAATGTAGAAAAGGTGATTTCAACAAGATTATAACGATTATTGTGACCTGTGGCTGTCTTAAACTCGGCTAATGCATTTTACGCCAAGTGTGTTCGGCTGAAATGGCAGACATTTTCAGCTCAAGAAGCAGTCCTATTAGGTTGAGTGTTTTTGGGCACAGGCAACTGCGATGCTGCTTTCGGTTTCCTGGAATTACCTCAAACATAATAGTGTCGACAGGTACTTCCCATCTTGTATTCCAAAGAAGAAAAGCAGTAAAATAAAAACAAATGCCGCCCCTAAATTTTTCTAACAAAGAACCCTGGCATCGCCACTGCATTTGTTTAGGTAATTTTCTAATGGCCGGTATTTTAAAACACTGAATCGATTATTGAGTTTCAACCTTGGGATGGAGTATTGGCATGTAATATTGACAGTTGAGTTGAAGAGGGCGCTTCTGTACTTGGAGCTTTTCAAATCTTGGCGCGTGAATAATCGAATGAAGTTTTAACCTCAAAAGTCAAGTTTGATGTGTGGTTTCAAGACAAGCTGACGCTGACACTTTTGAAAATAATCTTTAAGGACCACTGAACGTTTTGGGAGATATTTTAACTTATTCACTGTTCATTGTTCATATGTAGTCATCTTTACTTCTACTTATTAAAACGGTTTAAAACTATCGACATTTACCGCCAAAATTCAAAGCACTCCAAGTTCACTCGCGCCCTCTACAAAATTTCGGGGAACTTAACTGTATTTGCTGCCATTCCGTTGAATGTGTAGTGTTTTCCCCATACATACTATATACCACACTATTGTTGTAATGAAATTGATTATTTATATTATTTTGGAAGACATTTATTTTATATCAGGTACCCTCTATCCTTTTCCTAAATAATGGTTCGGTTCGGCATCAAAGAAAGGTATAAATTTATTATATTGTCTAGACCTTTTCCAGCAAGAAGGATGTGAATTGTTAGGTTAAATTGTAAACTCTGCAGACTTTATGTGAGCAAAAAATACTGTTTGCAATTATTATTGGTTACATAGTGGGATCATAACAAATGTAATGAAAAGTACCTACCTAACAAATTTTGGAAAAATGGAAAAAAGCAATACGAATACGAACTCTCTTACTGCTTTCTTGTTCAAAAGACTATTTCTAGGGGGGCAAACGCCCCACCCTTGCCCCCCCCCCAAACGACGCCCATGCCAACAACAACAACAATCATAATAAAAAGTAATTACACAAAATAGCTATTTATGTACCAAGGGGATTATGTAGATTATAATGCCCGAATGCGAAACTAGCCCGAGGGCCTCTGGCCCGAGGGATATGTTTCATTTTCTACTCAACACAATGTTTTTTCATCAATTTATTATTAACAAAATCAGTTAAACTTGTGTGACAGAATATTGTTTTGCATTTTGACAAGTACCTGTACCTGTGACATGTACCTATAAATACCTGTGACCTGTACCTAGAAACGAAATAAATTAATATATCTATAAACATCTCATAAGGCAAGGCAACGGTGGTGGTCGTGTGGGTTAACGCGCTGGACTACATGGGAAACGTTGATGGTAGACCGGGTTCGAATCCTGGCTAGACCGAAAATTATTTTCGGTCAGACATTTAGTGGCTGCCTAGGGTAAAGTGCAAATTAATAAAACAACAACAACCAAAACACCTCAGGGTATTATAAGCGGTCGTTATGGATCAGGTTGTTATAGGTATGTTAACGTATTTCGTTGCCTAGGTATTATGGATCTATAATAGTTAAGTAGAAAATTAATGAGTTTTATTTACGACTGACATATAATGTAAGTATTATTGATGATTAGTGAATACAAAATATAGTGTCAGGTGTAAAAGCCTAAACAAAAAAGGCTACGGAAAGTGTCAAAAATAAAAATAAAATGGAATATTTCTTGTTTAAACCGCCCCAAACGTTGGATTTATCAGAAAACATTGCTGAAAACTGGACGCAGTTCAAGGAGAAATTTGATATATTTATGAAGGCGTCTGAGTATATGACAAAAAAGCCGAAGAAATTAGAGTAGCCATGTTTTGAATGTTATCGGGATGCAGGTATGGAGCTGTTTAATAGTTTTAATATCAGCGAGATAGACAAAAAGAATTATACCAAAGTTATTACAGAATTTGATAATTTTTGTTTGCCAAAAAAGAACACTGTTTTGGCAAGATATAAATATTTTAAAAGAGATCAAGAAGAAGGAGAAATTTTCGATCAGTTTTATGCTGATTTGAAAAAATTGGTCAAACCATGCAGTTTTGGGGATCAGGCTGAAAGTCTAATTAGGGATAAAATTATCATGGGCATTTCTGATGTATCCTTACAGGAGAGATTGCTAAGGGAAGAGCTGACATTGAAAAAAACAGCAAAGTACTTGTAGAGTATATGAATCAAGTAAAGAACAGGCCAAAATTTTACATGACAATAATAATTTTGAGGTTAATAGCATAAGAAAAAGTTAACAAACATTTAAAAACAATGAAAATATTGGAGAAAAAAAATTTAAACTGGAATTTGAGTGCAAGAAATGTGGAAAACGGCATGGGCCTCGCAACTGTCCTGCATTCGGAAAAAATTGTGTTTATTGTGGTGAACAGAATCATTTTGCTAATAAGTGCTACAAAAGGATTCGAAAGCAAGGGATGAGAAACAGAAATGTACATGAAGTGTCTCAAGAAAAGTTGGCTACACAAGAGGATGAAGAAGAGGTCAATGAACTTTTTGTCGAGGAAATTTCCACAAAAAATAATAAATTGGTATGGTTGTATGATTTGATAATTGGTAAAGTTAAAATTCCATTCAAAATAGACACTGGTGCTGATAGCAACATAATATCTTTTAATATGTTCAAAGAACTTAGTTACAAGCTTGGTAACAATGCTGTTTTAAATAAAACCAAAAATGTAGTGAAAGCATTTGGCGGTTCAACAATTAAAGTTGTTGGTGTAGCAAAATTAGCTTGTAAATATTTGGATGGCAAAAATAATGAATGGAAAGATGCTTTGAATGATTTTTATGTTGTGAATATGGATTGTACTCCTCTAATTGGACTTAAAACATGTCTGGATATGGAATTACTCGATAATGTATGTGAACTAAATCTACAAAGTAATGAAAAAGACAAGCTTATTCGTCGATACAAATCAGTGTTTCATGGGTCGTTATCCTGAGGTCATAAAAATCAGGTTGAAGTCAGCCCTGGACAATTTTTTTTTTTTTTATGGATATGCGCACTCGCAAGGAAATGTCCTATCACGCTCGAGAAGCGGCAAGTGCGAAGATAAAGGTGTTATTTCAAAAGTTACATCTCCAACTGACTAGGTGAGTGATTTAGTAATTGTTGAGAAAAAAGATGGATCTATTAGAATTTACCTTAATCCTGCAGAATTAAATAAATACAGAGTGGCAAAAAAGTCGCGCATAATACCTGTAACTTTTTAATTACCTCGTATATGAAAAAATGACCTTAATGAAAGTTGCTTAGTAAATTATTTCCTACATTTCTACCTGGACAAATTGTTTCTGTCACTTCTGGTTTGTTTGCTATCCATAGCAACTTTGTTTTTTCAAATGAAACACCCTGTATGTGATTGCATATTTGGATTCTACGTAAAATTCTGAGAAGATTTCATGTGATGTACCCTATACCTAAGTTCAACTTTTTTGGAAATATTGACAGTTGAAAATTAACTTTTTTGCAACTTTGATAGCGTGTAAAACCGAAATGGTTAATTTAAGAGGAAAACCGATTTCACATTCCTATCTTAGATTTTCATAAACTATCATTTGACACCAACCTTGAATTTAATCAGAGATTAAATTTAATTGGAATTTTTAATCATAGATTAAATTCAAAGTTGGTGTCGATGAATTTGTCCAGGTAGAAATGTGGGAAATCATTTACTGAGCAACTTTCATTAAGGTTACTTTTTCGTATACGAGGTAATTGAAAAGTTACAGGTATTATGCGCGACTTTTTTGCCACTCTGTATGTTAAACGTGAACATTATTTCATTTCTACTGTGGAAGAACTATCTTGAAAAAAGTTATTTACTGTGTTAGATATGAAAGATGGATTTCATCAAATCGAGTTAGAAAAAGAATGTACTAATTAATGTTGTTTTAACACACCCTTTGGTCGTTATAAATTTTTGAGGTTACCTTTTGGTTTGTGCAGTAGTCCAGAGGTGTTTCAAAGAGAAAATATGCGTATTTTTGGGGACATTGAGGGAGTTCAAATTTATTTTGATGATATTATTATAGCAACAAAGGATGAAAGTGAGCATGATTTCATATTAGTTAAGGTAATGGATAAGGCTATTAAGTATAATGTTAAATTTAATGGGGAAAAACTTCAACATAAGGTAAATAATGGCTACGTTCACCAGAACCAAAACAGATTGTGAACAGTTTACAAATACCAACAGAATATGTTGGGTAAAGTCTTGGTTCTGCTGAACGATTCAACTTTTCAATGATAGAACGTCACCCTCTGAATGACAGGTCACCACACAAAACACAGTGTTGAAAATTTTAAACACTCTCAAATTATGCTTGCAAAAATGGCAACCGTTTGCAAAACATGTTTGGTTTCAACACAAATTTAACGTAGCGTTCAGCAGAACAATCGCAAACCGTTTACCAACGTTTGTATCTGGTGAACGCGGCCATTTGTGAAATATTTGGGTTTTATTTTTTCAGATGAGGGTGTGCAAGCAGATACAAAGCAAATCGATGCCATTTTAAAATTACCAGAGCCAAAATGTAAAAAGGATATACAACGTTTTTTATAGGTATGTTAAATTGCATAAGTTTATTCCAAATTTTAGTCAAATTTCAGCACCTTTGAACAACATTGTTGGGAAAAAATATAAAATTTAAGTTTGCAAAAGACCAAAGAAGCACTTTTGATACGCTTAAAAAACTGGTCAGTAAGGCTCACGTTCTTAAAATTTTTGACCCTTGTGAGCATGTAGTTATTCAAACAGATACAAGTAATGAAGGGATTGGAGCTTGCTTGCTCCAGAAGGGTCAGCCAGTGGCATTCGCTTCACGAAGCTTAAGTAGTGCTGAAAAACGTTATCCTATTATTGACAAAGAACTGCTATTGTGTTTGCTTGTGAACATTAAAACAACACAGATTAAAACGTAAATTGTTTAAATACATTTTAGAAATAAAATATTTGCCAGGTAAATATATGTATGTATATAGCAGACTTTTTGTCTAGAGCTTCAGTGGGTTATGGTAAAAATATAAATGAAGAGGAGTTAAATGAAATTGTGCATTCTATTAGTTTGTCACAGTCTACTGGAGTTCCTCGTACTTTCTTGGAAAAAATTGCTATGTTTACACAGAGAGATGAAACTCTCGGTCAATTGATCAAGTATATTAACAATGGATGGACAGATTTTAATATTAAAAAGTGCAATAGTGTGGAAATTAAACACTTCTATAATTTGAGACACAACTTGTTTTTTAAGAATGATATTGTTTTGTTGGATGACCGTATTATTATTCCAGAAGCATTAAAGGATGAAATGTTAATAAAAATTCATGGCAATGTTCATTTTGGAATTATAAAGAGTAAGCAGCGAGCACGAAAACTATTATATTGGTACTGTTTCAATGAACAAATTGATAAATATATGTCAGAAAATGTAAAATATGTGAAAAGTTTCAAAGGTCATGTTTTTCTGAACCACTGATTTGCCATAATACATAATACATATACATAATAATAATACATACATGTATACCAGATTTGCCTTTTGCAAAATTGGGGATGGATATTTGCGAATATGGGGGATTATTCCACTCATATGTGTTAGAAATCCAATAAGACAAGTGACGATTTTCAGAATTACAGCGAAAATTATCTTTTCCATTTGTTTAACTAGAGAGAATTACAGCGATAATTCTCCCATGTTATTGTATACATGGTTGTCATGCTAATTTTTGATACAAACAAACGGTTCCTGATAGCAACCATTTATTTGTATTAATTGTTAAGATGTTCAAATCGTTTAATACATATTTATTTCCATATTTTTTGCATTCTCATACGTGAAATAATCCTCTAAATACCACTTGAGCTTTAAAATAAACCAGATAATTTTTCACTCATGCGTGTTTTCTCTGCCAATTCCACTCGTCCTACGAACTCGTGAAATTATAGAAAACACGCAATCGTGAAAAATTATCGGTAATTTTGAAGCTCTCGTGGTGTTATCCCCGAAAATCATATTTGATAGTTAGTAGATTATTTCTTTAAATGGTAATTTTTATTAATTGTTGAACTTAAAGGGGAAGATGTGTTGTATGTGACGTTTGGCAAAAGGGCGCCAACGGGCAACTCAACCTAACCTCACTTACATACGTCAGAGTCGGCGGCACTGTGCTCCAGGACCAACAACAACAACAATCATAATAAAAAGTAATTACACAAAATAGTATATTGTTGTATTAGGAGTAGAAGCTTTACTTTTTTGTGCTGAAGCAGTAGATTTGCGAGCCGAACGTAGTGAGGGCAGTGAAGCTTGCAATACTGCTGAAGCACAAAAAAGTGCTTCTACTCCGTATGCAACACGCTATTTTTTCTCCAAACAAATGGGGTAAGCTCGGGGTAACTGAATGGTTAAGCGGCAGTATAAGTACGAGCGGCACTAAAAGTACTTTGGCTGCCGCTGGGGTTGCCAAGCAGCATAGAAATTAAGCTTCTACCACCTCGACAGGTGTTAGCCCGCTGGATTTGCCTGGCCGCATAGAAATCAAATTTCTGACATCTTGACAGGGGTTAACAAAGTGACGTTTTTTTGACGTTTGGAGAAAAATGAGTTTTATTGATGATTAGTGACTACAAAACAATTATATTTCACAGACTCTGGAATACAATTGATGCTTTTTGAATTATAAGTTATGGATTCTGAATACTTTTGATAAATCTGAATAACATTCAGTGCTTTGTGAACTACCTACTTTTGTTAAATCTGAATTATATTTGATGCTTTCTGATTTTCATTTGCCTGTTATGAATTTCATTTGATGTTTTCTGAATTACTGTTGGGAACGGTAATAAGATTTTTTTGTCCTAAATCTAAAATCATCGCAACTCCTTTTGGATTGATAAAGTTGATAAATCGTTTCTTTGGATGCCGGATTGTTATGAGAATTAAGTGATGGTTGGAAAAGAAAGAGATGTCTGAGTGTGAGTATCCACTACAAGTGGAATCATTTTACATCCTAGAAAATGACCATAAAGATGGATTCAAATTCTCTGCAATAAACACTGAAATTTCGAAAATCTTATATTTTTAGTTTCGAAGTATTGTTCATCGATTTTTATCTTTGCGTAAGAGGAGCGAGGGGGTGAAGTATATGGCAAAAACTGGTGTGACGTCAGGTGACCATTGGCGTTCTTATGTAGGGTGCCAGTAGCTCACATTCCTTTCGCGTATCCGATAAAAATAGACGGACTTTACATTGAAGGAGAAACATAAGGAATGTGGTTTTGTACAAAATCCAAACGTTTCCAATAATGTCTCATTTGTACTGAAAAAAACTTAGTACGACTTTGCTATTATCTACCTATATTGGAAATTATTACGTTATTAGCTATGAGTTTGAAAGAAAATTTACCTATAAGAAGTTTCATATTCATATACATTTTAAAAGGTTATTTTCATCTCAAGTCAAGGTTGTCTTATGAAAAGACGTTGTATCCCATCAGAATTCTCTTTCTTTTTAATTTGTTTATACCGTTCGACGTGAAATTAATCAGTTTTAATATTTCAGACTGACGGACCCTCTGCCGCATCTTTGAAGACGTAATTTTTCCCTAACAATCCGAAGTAGAACCCGTAAAACGGACAAAGTGATTGATGGTTGATTTTTGTATAGTCTCGCCGGTCTGTTATAATATTTTTTTTTTTTCGGAGGGATTCCGTCTTTAATGCTCTTTTGTTGTGCGTTTACCTGTACCTACATTATAAAGCTGTGATTTTTTTGGTGGCTTTAAATAAGATCGATAATAATTCTGTTTCAGAATAATAAAGTTTATTCAACCAACAGTAATGACACCGAGAAAAAAATGAATTCAGTTTCAAACAATACAAACATTAGATTTAAATATTTTATAATCCAGTTCGTTATTTACAGACAATTCTTCCACTACACGCGACATAGTGTCGACTCGATAGCCACTATTAATAAATAATTCACCCTATCTTCCTCGAACTTAATGGTTTTTTTGTATTAAAAAAAAATATATATATAAGCTGTTAGAACCAGAAAAATTCTAGAAAGTTAAATAACCGACCACCAGGAGGTCCTTTTTGCGGTTTCCGTTGCGTCTCTTTATCTTCGGGTATTTTTTCGAACAGCTCCTCCTCTGGAGAAAATAATGAATAAACAGTGGGGACTTAATGACTTGTGCTGATTGCAGCAATGGCAATAATTTCGGAGCAGTGTTCCGTTAAGACGTCGGGAAAGCCGCAACGCTCCCTTATTTATATAGGTGAGCTGCAATTTTTAATTATTAATGGGGGGATTCGCTCGGTTTTTAAGGACCAAATAAAGTCTGAGATATTATACTTTACCAGAATACATTGGATTAGGGGTATAGTGTATACGATTTGGATTGAGGCATCCTACCGACTGCGCCAAATAACTGCGACTCCGTTTTTGAATAATGGACATGTTAATTAATCGAAACCAACATACCAATCGAAGCCTAAGAATTTGATATAAAGAGTTAGATTTGGTTGGTCAAGGCCGACAACTTAGCCAAAGGAGGCTCAGCCACTGAGATCTTAAGCCTAGAAACATTCTGCGGAATGTCGGCAGGCCTTTCTAAAACATCTATCAAGAACTGGATGGACTGAGACTTCCAGAGCTAGTGATAGCATACACCAAGACAATGACAGGCAAACCAGTTCATCAAATCCTGTTCGAACAAGTTCACAGCGAACCTACTAGCCACTGGCCAGTATCATGACTCTGGAGTCCAAAAAAAAAAGACGGGTCTAGAAAACGCACTCTAAGGACAGATAGAAGGCACCACAATAAATCTGACAAAATTGCAGTGGTACAGGACGCCTTTGCGTCATCTCCATTTAAACAAATCTAATCTAATCTTGGTCAACACTATGTTGTCTTCGAGGATGACACATCATATTAATTTTCCAATTGAAATTCTTCTACTACGGTGCAGTTTACTATATCCTTATTGAAAATCTTGTTGTGGCCTTGAAGAAATCTAACTTTTTTGATGTACGAGGTACGTACAGGGTGTCCAAGATTCGATGATTTTGGAGGGTTTCGGGTATTTCTAAAGGAGTTGGAATAGATCTGACCTCCATTTGCGAGCCTCGATTTTCAAGAGAAATTGACTGGTGAAAACCGCACCTCGATATGTTGAGTCGTTTTTATGCTACGAGGAGTTTTTGAAAAGTTTGGAGTTTGGCAGGAGGCCTATAACTCTTTTATTTATGAAAATTTGGTCAACTTTTCCCCTTGTAGCTTAAAACTGAATCGAGATATCGAGATGCGGGTTTCACTGGTCAACATGAAAATCGAGGCTCGCAAGTGGGGGTGAGATTTTTTCTAACTCCTCTAGAAATATCCGAAACCCGCCAAAACCATCGAATCTTGGACACCCTGTACAGTTCCTTCTGCTGAAAATTACAATATCAAAAAAAGTATCGGCGGCAAGCCGCCTCTGATAAAATCATCGGTCTTGCATAATTTCAAATATAATCCGCGCAGAATTTTTTCCTTTCGCCGCCAACTGCTGCGTCATGCCCCCACATACAAAACCCGGCAGAGAAATTGCAAGTTGTAGTGAGTCGATGGATGACGCGGGCCTGTCGGAATAAGGTAATAATTCGGTAGCTCACTATCGATTGTTTTGATTAAGTTTTTAAGGCATGAGTCAGTTTTATTATGGGGTTAGGTCTCTAATTAAGGCTGTAGCTGTCATCAGGGCGTTAGCCGGCTTCGAATTCTGATTTCAAAATATTCAAACCTCAATTGCTCGGTAATCGTAGAGCAAATTGCATTAAAATTTTCAGTATTTTTAGCTCTTATTAAGCTCTAAATGGCCTGTAATTTGCAATATTCCCAGATATATAGTTTTTGAGCAAATTGAGTTTGAATTTTTTGACAAAATTTGAACTAAAAGTCAACTTTGAGGCTCAATTGCTCAAAAACTAGTTAAATTATCAGCTCACTTTTTGGACAGATCTATAGAGAATTTAATGCTCTTTCCAATGCTGTATAATTTATTTCAATTTACTCAAAATTTAACAAAGATATGGGCAGTTGTTCATGACCATGTCAAGATTTTGAAAATGTTCCAGAACCAAAAATGGGATTTTCTTTTTATTTTTGTTTCTGCTTAAAATGGCCATTTGGAATTCAAATCAGGGTTGTTTTCCACTAATTTTGACCCGCTCTATCGATTAATAGAGTTAAAATTGAGCAAAACTGAAAAATAAGAAAATCGAGTTTTTCATAAAGGTACCCCCTTTGAATTCTGATTTCAAAATATTCAAACCTGGATTGCTCGGTAATCGTAGAGCATATGGCATTAAAATTTTCAGTATTTTTAGTTCTTATTAAGCTCTAAATGGCCTGTACTTTGCCATATTCCTAGATTTATGGTTTTTGAGCAAATTGAGTTTGAATTGTTTTTACGAAATTTGGACTAAAAGTCAACTTTGAGACTCAATTGCTCGGAAACTATATGAGCTATCAAACTCAAATTTTTTTTACAGATTTATAGAGAATTTGCAGTAGGTTAGTAAGTACCCAAAACAATGAGGTACAATAATTCACCATTACCATTAGTACGTTTTAAATACCAAATCCTTCAAGCCTATGATTCTTGTCAATAAAAAATTATAAAATAGAAAAAAAATTCACTGATACTGAAGACTGAAAGTACCCAAATATCCAATAAAAGTATCGGGTATTGATATTAAAAGTATTAAATCGGTACAGGTATTCAAAAGTATCGAAACTTTACATCACTAATGGGATGGAACAGTGGTGCTTTTCCGTAGAAGATAAATCATGGGGCAAAAATTGAAAGCTCCTGCCAAGTCAGGCTTCGTAACAATTCCACATTTTATCTTTAAACACTGGATCACGTTGCATATTATGATATCCCAGAAGTATCCTGGATATAATCCAAATTATTTTGAGTTCTCGAATTCCAACTGCAGTTTTCTGTATATGTATGGGCAAAAGTGGAAATAAAATCTTCTCATTCTGGTGAAAGGAAACCTCGAAGGAAGCACTTGTGTTGTTAGCATTGTGAATTTTTGAGGACCTACCTTGAGACGAGTTGGCAAAATTCTCGCACTATCAATGTGCAGGTGCTTTGCGATTTCTTTGGTAGAAGGGCAAGCAAAAACCAATGCAGGGATGATTTTTTCTTTTCACAAATTAAAGCAAAGAATTGCAGAAGCATGACAGAAATTTGAAAATGGAATAGCAACAAATGGCACATCAAAGCAATTCTTTAAATATGTAACAAGAAGCCTCAACTCTAGAGTATCGTCTATATCGATAAAGGACGATAATATTGCATCAATAATTGATCCAAAAGATATGGGAGAACAGTTTGCTATGCAACTTAGCAAAGTATTCAGCCCAGACCCGATTATGAGACCAACTTTGCCAGATGATTTAAGAGTAACTAATATGTTGGACAGGATAGAATTTACAGAAGAAAAAGTGAACAGGGCTTTAAGTGAAATGAAGTCAGGCCCAGATGGATTTCCAACAATATTCCTACAAAAGTGCAAAGCCACTATTGGCAACCATCTCTCAGGATTATTTAAACGATGTATAGATTCGGAAAAAATGGAAACATGCAACGGTGACTCCACTTTATAAGAAGGGTGACAGACATATTGCAGAAAATTATAGACCCATCATCTTGACCTGTAATCCTTGAAAATGTCTAGAAAAAATTGTTGCTACTGAAATGACTGACTTCCTACTTACCAACAAAGTTTTACCAATTTCACAATATGGCTTCATTTTAAAGCGTTCAACAATAACGCTTCTAAGCTGCGTTGATAATTGGACCAAAGCTCATGAAAAAAGGCAACCGACAGATGTAATATACCTGGACTTTGAGAAAGCCTTTGATAAAGTACCTCATTCATTGTTGCTCTACAAGCTTGAACATTTTGGTATAAGAGGCCAGCTTCTCACCAACCGCTTCTATCAGGTGAGGGTCAATGTTATTTTGTCTGATAAACATGCGGTTATGAGTGGGGTTTCTCAAGGGTCTGCTTTAGGATCATTACTGTTTCTAGTTGTTGTTAGCGATTTGTCATGGAACATTGAGACAAACATCATTTTTTTTTGCTGATGATACCAAGATGTTCTGTAATCCATTGTTGCAAAGGGACTGCTTGAATAGAGATCCAAGGCGAATTGAGATATGGACGGACCAGTGGTGCATGAGGCTCAATGCATTAAAATGTACAATACTGCATATTGGTTCGAATAATCCACATGAAGCTAAATAATGTTGAGCTTACTAGCGTTGCTGAGCAAACGGATCTGGGCGTGCTGATAGTGAAAAAGGCCAATAGTTTTATTTTCATGGTGCAAAAGACTTTCAAAGATAACTCACAAACAAAGTACGCCTCCTATATCAGACCGAAAATCGAGTATGCTTGTAGTATTTGGAACTCCTACTATATCAAAGACATTGAAATTTTGGAAAGGGTTCAAAGGCAGGTTACCAGAATTCCATTCGAGTTGAGAGGCCTAACCTATCCTGAAAGACTGGAAATATTTGGGATAACTACTTTGAAGCAAAGAAGAACTAGGGGTGATCTGATAGAAACCTTTAAGATTCTGTCAGGCTACTATTCTTGTGGCTTGGGAACTTTGTTTCATTTCAATAGGAACCAGCAGCTGCGCGGACACTCAAAAAAATTAAGCAAGGAAAGATCAGCATCACTTCCAAGAAAGAATTTCCTCACCAATCGGATTGTGTACATGTGGAACTCACTTGAAGAAAGTACAGTATCCGCAAATAGTGTAAACTCTTTTAAAAACTGTGTTGACCGTTATTTAGAGCAAACAGCCCATAATTTTGTTCTAGGTAAAGGTTGCTCAAGCAAAATAAGCACAGTTTTGTGTGTTTAGTGCAGTTTAGTTTCCTATGTCAATTTCGAGGTTCTGATTGGAGGAAGTGCTCCTATAGAATCCTCACTGACATTCACAGATACTTTATTTCCCATAACTTTCCAGTTCAATTCAAAAATTATGCCCCAATTCAATCAACAATTACGATTATTTGGCAAAAATATTAAAGTCGTCGTTTACACAATCGGAAAGATACAACAATGCCAAAAAAGCATTGTAAAAGCTGTGTAAACGTGTTGGGTTCAGAATTAGTCGGAAGCGACTTAATAGAAGCTGTCATAAAGCCGTGCTAATGATACAAAATGGCGCGGCGGGGGGCTATATCATTTAATTAACAGCCGCCATAATGGTCGGCTGTCGTGAATTAATAACCCAGGAATCCACAGGTCCATTTGTATGTTTGTCAGCTGAGAAATAAACGATATCTGTATTTGGATCTTGAAGATTTTCAATTTCAAAAAAAAACACTGATCCTGAAAACATCGATTCCGGATAACATACACCAGTTGTTCCCATAAAAAATAAAAAACTATATATCATCATCCCTCTGTTGGTCCAACGTTATTGTTTAACTTTTGATAAAAAAAAAACACCAGACACGGAAAGTATAATATAAAACGAAAGGTTATAGCGTGCAGTTTTGTCAACGCCTACTCGAAAGCTCGCATGATCCGGAGCCATATTATTTTAATGTCTTTCGGCATGATCTACCAACTGGCGGAAGACAGAAACACGAAACCGCACCAGTAATATTTTTCGGTTCAAAAAATATCTATATACACCGGACAATTTATGTTTGTGGATTCTTTTTCCTATAACAGTATTTTATACTAAGTATAGCATTTCACATTGAGGTGGATGAGGACACGGTTTATCATTCAGTGCAAGATTTTGGACAAAGTCGAAATCAAGTTGTTCACATTGTACCAGAATTTTCTTGGGAGTTGACAGCAATAAATACGTTTTTGATTTGCTATTCAGTGATTATAGATAGATTTTACAAAACTGAAATGAATGTTACTTGCTTGACGCTTAGGCTATCACACTAATCTAGCAAGAGTCTTGGACATATTAATAGAGATAGATAAAGGTTTCATAGTTCTAATAGGGGTATGATCATCAGTTGACCGCAAGTCCACAGGTAGACAGAGAAGTTTACAGGACAACAGCTCTGTGTCTGTGATGTGCAACATGGCTTTCTTCATCTAACGTCCACTATCTCAAACCTATCGACCTACTCAGTACTGATCCACAAACTCCAGCATCGTGATGTTGGCGGGAAATATTACGATTCATCGACGATTTCCTCCAGGGTCGTACATTTTAAGTACAAGTGGATTCGACACATTCAGAGCAGCACAGGGAATTAGTTTCGGATCTCTTGTTGTTCATAGTCTATTATGTGCTAGAAAATCATCAATATCTGGAGAAGCCTCTGGAAGACGCCTTTTAATTACACAGAATGAATCATCATCAATCGTACATACTCATACTTCTTTGATAAAACAGGTACCTATTACCAAATTTCAAAGTTGATTGTCAGGGATCATTCCAAGATGATTCATATGCTTTATACAACCTATGCAAGCAAGACCCAAAATCGAATATGGACAGTGTATTTGTTGGAGACCTTACTACATTAAATTTCCAATTCAATTCATGTATAGAAATAATTCCATTAGTCGAGTGATTTGCAAGAAAGACTCAATCAAATTTGAAATTTCAATATTGCAGACTCTTGATTTGGTTGAAGTATTGTATCTCAGAATCAATTTGCGTGAAGTGGAGTCCAATATTTGTTTCTCAATATGTATTTTCAGTCAATAAGAGAACTGGATTTTTCAGCCATTCAAAAAATAACAACAAATTTGCTGAATAATAATGTATGAAATTGAAACAAGACTTTCTATACGTATATATGGAAATTCTTACCTTGTTGACTATTTTTCCTTGTAGTCTTCTTCTCTTTCATCCAAGGATACTCATGCACATTGACACCAGGTGAACCTAATCCATGTGGCACTTCCATACCATAATTCCCTGGCGGCGTATGCTGTGGACTCATCGGAGCACCATGAGGTGGCATTTCGGCTGACAGGTGCGGCAAAGCGGTCATAAACTGCAACCAAATAAACAAATAAAATTTTGCGGACAACGAGGTTCGGATTGTCTACCTCAGCCATCGATGGTTGGCTACTAATAAAGCCAGTTTCTCCGCACCCGTCCATGGGATGTCGGGGTGTACCCCCGACGTTGGCCCCGCTAGGGGGCATCCAGTAGGGCGCTCCAGAAGAATCGTCCGGCGTAACGGAACGCGTTTTGACCGGTACAAAGTCTACGTCGTCTTCGAGCTGCCCCACTGTAGGCATTAGGGTGACGAGGCCACTGTCTTGGTTTAATCTGGAAAGAAGTTGGGTGTCAATATAAATGTGGCGGCCTAATTAGCTTACAGAACGAAGATAAATTACCGATTTTTCGACATGTGTCAGTCGATGAATGTGACTGACGCCAGCTTAAAATTGCTAGATATTGAGATTGAGGACAGGCAATAATCATAGATAGGCTTTTTCGGTCCTATAATAGGTAGCCTTGTCTTGGGAATCAGAATAAAAAGATTGTTGTGAGCTGATCTGATATCGATAACGATTTGATTGAATATTACATCCGAGAAGAACAATGTTGTCAAATGCCTTATGCTAGCTCCAGATCAAACATAGATAATCGAGTGTTCTTGCAAATCTTTCATTTGTTGAAAGTTATGATGGATGGAACATCCATTGGCAACAAACTCAGAAGTAAGTTTCAACTGGACCGTTTCTTCTATTGACCATATCAACAAACAATGAAAAAAGGTATTTGATTCACTGATACCCCATGCTGAATGTATGTTATCATCAGAGATGCTCAAGATCCACAAGCACTCATGCAGATTAGCTACAGGAATAATCAATGTAGGTACTACTTTTGAGATATGTCCTATTCAAAATATATAATATAGTGGATCTCAATTCAAATTTTCTATTTGATTACCCTAAATCACTAGACCAGTATGACATTTGGTGAGATGCACAGTTTTTGGCAAATCCTTGTGAATTCTGATCAGCGTTGATGGTCAAAGATGACGAGACTGTTGGATCAAGATATAATGAGAATATTAGACTTCGGCGGTCTGATTCTGCGGTGACGTTCTTATGGAAATGAATTCATTCTCATGAAAACCATGCCCTCTCGTTTGGAGAATCAGTCGCCTGTCAGAAATTTCAATTTTTCGAATACTTACTCATTAATTACGAGGTGGGTGACCCAGAATTTGTGTAAACTCAGGTAAAATATCAGTTGTTTTACTGAAGAAAGGATTAATGAAGACAGTTCTAGTACTGTAATGCGTAGGTAGGATAGTCCATCGAAAAAGAATAAACTAGACAATGTATATTTCCGCATTGAAAAAATAACTTAAAATTGTTGTTTCCAGAGTCACTTTCTATGCTTTATCTACAATTTATCCAGATATGAGACACATTTGTTTGAACTAAATCTGTTTTGTTGTAGTTACCTCATTGACTAATGTATCTCAAATTCCTTTACAGCTTTAAATTGTTGTAGCACTGTTAACGCACCAACCTCACCAACACAGTCCTTTCATTACATGAACAATCACCCGCACCAAAAGTTTTCAATTCCCAATTAACCCTTTAAGTTCACACATTACACACGCAGGAGATCGCGATGTATTCCTTTATCGTAGGAATAACCGTTGCAGCAAACGTTAAGCGATGTTCCCGCGCTTAGAGAAATAGAAAACGATTGTTACGCTTTGCGTCCGTGGATACAGTAAGCGCTGCTGCGTTGTTTTTGTTTCTTTCGGCTCCGAGGAGGCCGATAGCCGGTCACGTGTACCGTTATTGAACCAATCCCGAGCTAGTGTACGAGCTCACGAAGGCGGCGCTTGGCAATTGGTGGGCGGACTCACGCCTGTCGTGTCGAGTTCCACTACAATTATACAGGTAAAAATTATGAAAACAAAAAAAAAGAAACATGGGATTTCACATGAACATGCCGCCGCCGATATGCCTTTTGATATTCTTATTACTTTAAACACGGACGTGCTGGTCGATCACGCAAACCTTAGCGACCTCCATGAGAAGTGCCATTTAACCTTTCGTATATACGATGTGTTCTGTTTCTCAGGAGTTTTCCTTTCGACTTAAGTGCAAGACCTGATTATAGTGCTATTTTTCATGTAAATTATGGTGGGATGTTGTGAACATGACTTTAGTTCTTTCACTTTTTTTCCTCAAAGTGTTCTCGTGACATGTTCAACGTATTTTTTTACGACAGTGCCTACACTGAACGTTTTTAGGACTTATTCTGAAATTCAATACACATTTTTCATAAAAGGGTATTTAAGAAACACAGCGTGATTCATTTAACTTGAGCCAGTCTGATGTTTCGTAAATGGCGCGTTTTTAGGAAAAAAAAGTTCGAATAAGGGTTATATGGTGTTATGGGGGAAAGAAAATGGTAGCACGCCGTTTTCTAGATATAAGACTCTCTCAAGGTAAATGATCTACCCTGTATATCCTGGAATAGAAACCAAAAGGGAGACAGGGATATCAAAACATATGGTTGGACGACATAAAGACAGCAGTGGATGAGGTTGACGAAAAATAGAGACAGATGGAAACAATTAGAAGAGATCTACAACCAAAGTCGCTTTCCAGTGACGCACTTAAAGCACTCCTGAGTTTGCATCAGAAACATGCTGCTTAAAGTAGGGTAGGGTGCATTCCAGTGACAGTGAAACAACAGTTGCTTGGAGTACCAGAATGTGAAGCTACGGGGTGTGGAGCACCTTAAAATTCGTCACTGGAAAGCGGCTCAAGAGTGGATGGTCAGAGGTTGACAAATAAGAGAGAGATTTAAGTTTCCTGCATCAGAAAACGAACGAATTGTCTACGAAATATCTAGTTCTTATTTTGATGATTTGAGCAATTTTGAGGCGAGAACAACATTGCAGCTTACCTGAGGCTCTGGGTCCTTATTCTCGAAACATGGAAGTAGCGTTCCCAGGAGAACGAGTGTTCCGTCTTTCTCAACGATATGCAACTGATAATATAGTAACAAAGACGGAACACTCGTTTTCCTGGGAACGATGTTCCCTTGAGGACCCTGATGGTAAAAGAGTGCTCCAGAGTATCCCTCCGAGTGCCGCGCCGCCTGATTCTCGAAACTATAGGGAGCAGCGTTCCACGAGTACACATTTTCTGACTTTGTCACTTATATGAGATTTTGCACGGAACTGAGAAGGACAGGGCACTTGTTCTCATAGGAACTGCTTCCTCGTTCCAAGAATCAGGTGCCTGGTTATTCGCTCTATTGTATGTAAATTCTCTTATCAGGTGAAGTTGGGTAACTTATAATCTCCTCACTCTTAATTTCTCGAATGATCGATAGTTCATTTGCACTAAATCCTGCTAAGGGCCGAATTTATAGTCGCTCCTTGAGATTTCCTCAGACCTTGAGGAAGTCTCGAACGTTTAGAATTAACATGATTAACTTGTCAGATAGTAGCAAGTGTCCATTCTAAACTCTCGACTTCCAAGGAAGAGTCAAGGAACGACTATAAATTCGGCCCTAAATTTCCTGCGATCCTGAATTACCAGGGCTGCGTTCGAGAACCTGGGTTGTAGGTGTGGAAATTATTTCAGGGAGTGGTAGCATGATGCATCCCCAAAATGTCAGCTTTCCGAACGGCAGATTTGTGATTTTTATACGACACACCAGGTTCTCGAACACAGCCCAGCACTTCAAGATATCTTGAGAAAAGAAATATCCTTCACGATTGGTAATCAAGAATCTGTTGATTGTCTTCAGGAAACTCTCCACCGAATCAACACCCGGGTAATAGGTTTGTTCGGACTTAGTTCAGAATAAGTTCTGAATTGAACTGCGCTTGCGCATTGGTTTATTTATGTTCGATATGAACAAATGGGCAAGCGCAGTTCAACTTAGAACTGATTCTGAACTAAGTCCGAACAAACCTATTATTGCAAATTAGGATTATGACTATAACCGGCTCCTAATTCCCATGACGATTGTTCTTCAATCAGTCAAGAGCCGGTAGTTATTGAAATATTGACTATTACCGGCTCTTGATTGCCTCAAGCAAAATTGTCCATATCAGAGCTACTTCAGGCTCTAGAAGGCCTTGATTAACCATCGAATAAAGACCTGGTTAAATACAAATATTTTGATTGATTTCAGCACTTGATTCGCTGTAATGTTTGTCAATTAAGAGCCGGTAATACTCTAAATTTGGAATATTATGGACTCTTGATTGAGAGCTGATATCAATATATGAGGACAGTTTACTTTACTCACTTGCCTCTATCAAATTTGTCCAGCAATCATAAACTGGTAGAAATAAAAAGTTTACCTATATTATCGGCCCTAGATGACCTTTAGAAAAATTTTCCATCAAATCAAGAGCCGGCGAAGATAATAAATTGAATTATTACCGGCACTTGATTGGTTGAAACATTTTCAAGAGCCGGTAATAATCAAGATTGGGACTGTTATCGACAATTGACCTTTGGAAATTTTTTATAGCGAATCAAGAGCCGGTAATATCGAATAATTGGATTGTTACCGGTACTTGACTCGCTGGAAATTTTTTGTAGAGGCGTCAATCAATAGCTTGTTTTTCTATAGGCAATAAAGAGCTGATAGCGATCAAAATTTGAATAATTTTTGACTCATGATTGCCTCTAGAGTTGTAGAATGAATCAATAAGAATTTGATGTATGTAGTTTGATAATGAAACATATTCAATCAAGCCGATGTAGTTCAAAATTTGTATTATTTTGGACTCTTGATTGGCTCCAGAAAAATATTCGAACAAATCAAGAACCCGGTGCCAATCAAAATATGGATCATTACCGGCACTTGTGATTTGATTGCCTTTAAAAAGAAGGTCCAGTGGATTATAAACTGATAAATACTCAACTATTTTAAGTCCTATAGATAACCTTTCGAAAAATCAACTATCGACTCAGGAGCCGGCATAGATATTAGAGACCTTTCGCTCCTCTACTTTTGTTGCCATTTCACTTTATCGCTTATTTCGGGCATGCGTATTGACAAAGAAATACCGGAATCTCTTACTAACCGATAAAGTTTGACGTATCCTTTATAAATGCTGATAATCCAACATGGTTGCCTTGAGTAAAACGTTAGGATGACTTTTGGCCGTATTCTGTAAGATAATTAAAAAATATGTACCTAACAACCGCGTATATGTTTCAAATCATGTGATCCTCTGGATTTTAAAACATCTTATTTTATTGCGAGAAGTTTAAAATTATAGCTCTTATATAGCATTATGATCTAGGCCAGGCCAA